TTGTTTTTTGTTACATAGTGAAAAATTCTTCTAATAATTTAATTTTATCTGACTCATTTATATTGACAATTCAGACATACATTATGCATTTTAAAGTAGATGACTTTAAAATGATATTGCCAATATTGTTGAGTTGCGCTCCTGGGACGACTTTACGTATAAGATAGTTCATTCGATTACATGAAATCAACTTTAACTTGAGAATATCCGTCAGAAAAAATAATAGCATGTAATTCGTCTTTAAAAAGACAAACACATGACATGATGACAGTAAAATTCTCCTGTTAGTGATTCCATAGTAAATTATGAGGGAAAAACCAGGAAAAAAACCTCATAATACTATCCCGACATTGTAAGTATTTTGTTCGTGAATTTAGTTTACCTTCAACAAACATCAAAATTCTAATTTTATATGTTACGTTATTTAAAAAACATAAATGATGTACCCTCTATATGTTACTGACTTACTAATACTGGTATTTTCTTATTAATAACTTCCTCTTTCAATATTGGTAACCAGATCCTACTACATTCTGCCGAGGAATTTGCGACACAATTGGCCTCATTTAGCATAATTAGAGCCGCTTCTTTGATTTTTCTTTTTTTACTATCCGTTTCTTTTAGGACTACATTTGAATTATTCCATTGAACCCTATGTTCATTATCCCATGCGTGTTTACAGATTTGAGATCTATCAAATTCTCTATTTTTAATATAAGATTGATGTTCACTTATTCTAACATTTAATGGCCTTGATGATTCACCTAAATAAAACTGATCGCATTCACAAGGTATTTTATAAATGCAATTCTTTGTCCTTTCTTGTTCATTGTTAGGTTTGGTTTTGGACAAAATAGATCTCAACGTGTTTGTTGTTTTGAATGTTGTTGAAATGTTGAATTTATTTCCTATCCTTTTAAGTTTTTCTGATAATCCTTTTATGTACGGTATTGTTATTTTCCTCATATTATTCCTTGTGTATGGTGTAGGATCTCGTTCTAAGTTGTTCTGTTCTATTCGATCGATTGTTGAAAATTCCTTATTTATAAACGATAAAGGATAATCATTTTTTAATAAAACAGATGTTAACAAATGTTTCTCCTCCAAGAAAGAATTTTCGTTAGAAAAAGTAATTTTGGCTCTATCGTATAATGATTTAATTATTCCCCTTTTTACATTAATATTGTGATTTGATTTGAAATTTAAATATCTATTGGTGTGTGTTGGTTTTCTATACACCTGAGTCTCATATCCAGTATCGTTCTTAGAGATTAAAACATCCAGGAAAGGTAGCGTGTTATTATATTCCTTTTCCATGGTAAATGTTATTGTCTCTTCTTTATCGTTTATATCATTTAGGAATGTGTCCAACAACTCTGATCCATGAGGCCATATTGAGAATACATCATCTACATACCTCCACCATACTGTGGGTTTGAAATTTTGTTTAGAAATGATATTTGTTTCAAAATCTTCCATAAATATATCGGCTAAGAATGGAGATAACCTAGAGCCCATTGCTAGACCAAAATTTTGTTTATAGAATTCATTATTTAGTTGAAAATATGTATTATCAGTACATAATGTTAATAACTCCATTATAGCCGATATGTTTAGTCTTGTTCTAGTTGCCAATGAATCATTACTCTCCAATATTGTCTTGACTATACTTAAAGTCTTATTTAATGGCACATTCGTAAATAAACTATTTATGTCAAAACTTACCAAAGTATGATTTGAATTAAATTCAATATTTGATAATTTATTTAAAAAATGTTGTGTATTTTTTATGAATGTGTCATTTTTATTTGTAAATGGTTTTAAAATATTTAATAAAAATTTTGATAATTCACTACAAGGAGAACCTATGGTACTACAAATGGGTCTCAGTGGTATATTTGTTTTATGAATTTTCGGTACTTCATAAAAATGAGGAGTCTTACTGTAATGAGGTGTAATTAATCCTCTCTGATAACTTGTTAAAACATCTTTAAATTTGAATAAAGTTCTGTATATTTTGTTTTCCAAAGGCTTTGTTGGATCTTTTGTTAATTTTGTATAAGGTCCGTTTATTAATAGATCTTTAATTTTATTTTCGTATTGAATTTTATCCATTATCACAGTTGCATTCCCCTTGTCTGCTGGTAGGATGATTATGGAGTCGTCATTTTTTAAAGTTCTTATAGCCCTTAGTTGAAAATTGAAATGGAAATTGAAACGTCAATAAACGTATTTTTATCTTTAATTGTGGCTTATTCCCAGTTTAACAGTAATTAAAACATATCTTGTAGGAATTTTAGGAATCTTTTGTTTCATTAAGGAAATATGATATTTCCATAATATTACATTTATTGAAACATTCGTTGCATTGTTATGTGGTTTATATTTTTTGTTAGTTATTTATTGAATAAAAATAATTTTGTTACAGTATCACTCAATACTCAATACTTTAAGTTTACATAAGTAAACTTATGAGCTTGTAACTTAATATCCGGAGAAGAAAATGTTCTGGACAACTTCTTAACCTTTTCGCACCCTTTTAGTCCACGTCTACGTTTTCCATGTCTTCCACTTCTTACTACTACGTCTAGTAAATTTTCTTGCATTTTTCCTACAATAATAAAAAAAAATCCCTTTTTATTTCGAATTTTCATTATATTACTTCATGTTTCACATATATTTCATTATTTTCGATACTGACGTGACAAGATTTTTGCACAAACTCTTTAGATTTTCGCCCACGCGAAATGCTACTCTATACGTGAGTGGTGTACAAGAACAGCATTTCATAGGCGTCGCAATAAATGCAACGGTAGTTATCACCATTTAAGAAATATTTTTTTATTTATTTTATGGAAAATCCTAGTGATAATGACATTTGAATAAAAGATATTTCGCGTTCTTCCTTCAATTTTATATAAACTGAATTGTCTATTGTCAATTACTGTTAACTGGTTATTAAATTAAATATGTTTTCCTTTCCCTACGAATGTCTAATTGTTTTATGATGTATCGACTATTTATCGTATATCACCTAGTATACAGTAGGTGATCAAATTATTAGAGCCACCCCATAAAATTTTACTTTTTGTTTAAAAATGGTATGTAATTGAGCTATAAAACATATTTTTGTGCTTAATTGAATTTTCTGTGATTTATGAGGAAGAGAGGAAAATTTATGAAGAAATGAGTAATTACATGAAAACAATTAAAAATTATGCCTTAAGCCTAATACTTCTGGCACCGTTTTGGCATACTTTCTATGCATATCTGGCAATTTTGTGGAATTGTTCCACTCCTGTGCCATTATGCTATTAAGCTCTCGATCAGTTAATGCTTTGTAGTTATAATGTTACTAGACATTTCTTATTCATGAGCTTTCAAAGATTTTCTATTGCATTCAGATCTGCCGAGTTGCCAGGACAGGTGTCTGGTTGTCAGCAAGGAATTTTGTAACAGTTTTTGCCTTGTGACAAGACATCGAGTCATGCATAAACATGAAACTCTTATTCAGAAACCACTCTTGGGCTTGGGAAAGCATTTTTGCTTGCAGTACTCTTAAGTACTGCTCCTGCTACATTATTCCTTCGACAATGTAGAGTCTACCAGTTGCTTGACTGCTTATGATTGACCACACCATAATGTTTAGGGGGTCCTTTACCGTCCTTACAATACAATCAGCTTTATCTTTTTCCACAGGTCTTCCCCTTACAAATTCAGCTCTATCCGTGAGGATCTGCACGGTAGATTCGTCCGAAAAACAAACCTAGAATATTATTATTATTGTAGAATCAATGACAAATTGATCAACTGTAAACCACATGAAAGGAATACAATATTAAGCAATGTTATTTATTTACATGATTCCAATCATTAATGGTCCAATCTTTGTAATATTTAGCCCACTGAAGCCGTTTTTTCTTCAAGGCTGGTATGAGTAGCAGCTTTTTTGCAGGGCGACAGGTTGAAAATACCAGATCCTTTATTCGCCGATGAGATGTCATTGGTAAAATACTGGTCCAGACTCATGCATCATTTTCGTTAAAAAAATTCAAGGTTTTTCGTGTGCCAAGACAATATTGCGAATTTTTTCTTTCATCTCGTGGCATTGTAATTTTTTTTTTTTTTTCGACCATATTTTTGTTTGGCTCTAAAGAAAAAAATTGACTCAAATTTGACTCAACCACAGTTTACCTTGAAACTTTAAAAACTGATGCTATTTTTCTGTTGGTGTGATTATTGTTCAATAATAAAAATTTTATTTTCACTATTTTCCTTGGTGAGATATTTTTGGCTTCTCCCATGATATTCTGGTACCACTGGTGTAACAAACATGCAATGTTTGCTAAATTAATAAAAAATAGTATACGACTGCCAGAATACCACTAGAGAGCAATGGAAACTATTTACTATAACTCTAATCACCAAGAATACAAAACCATATGCACACGAGTTGCAAACTAGGCTGGACATCATTGACAAACAATGGCATCTGAGTCACGTTTTACCACGCCTGCTGTGTTGCCACTGTGGCCAGACTATTTATTATACTTTCATAAAGTGTTACAAGATAATAAAATGTAAACAAACGCATTAGTATACTATACAACTCAATTACATACGCTTTTTCTAAAAAAAATAAATTTTGCTAGTTGGCTCTAATAATTTGATCAACCACTGTATTTATCTGTCATTTGTGCTGATTCTAGTAGAACTTTCAGTTCTTTACCCATTTATAAGCATTTTTCTAACAATGAACTGAGGGCTTTTTAGCATTCTTCGGTAATAAAAGTCAATATGATATCGACACCCTTTGTACGTTCGAAATTGTAAAATGTAATTGAATTGAAGAATGTAACGTAATTTCGGGAGATATATATGAGATAAATAATCTCGTATGCGAACTTATACCTTGCAACTTAGATTGAAAATATATTACGTTTCTGCATGTCTATATTTTTCGAATTTTTATCAATATCAATATTGTTGAATTGTTTCAGGTGCTACATGCCAGAGACATCATTCCCCTCGACCCCAATGGTTACAGTGATCCCTTTGTCATTATAGAACTATTGCCGCACAGAATGTTTCCGCTCTGCAGCACTCAACAGACCAACGTCCATAAAAAGACGCTTAACCCCAATTTTGACGAATGTTTTGAGTTTAGGTGAGTAATACACAAGTGTTCATACGTTTAGAAACTTTTTACACGGAGATGCAACTATAATTAGTATAAAACTGGAAGATTTTCAGCAGCAAGTTGTGTTATTCGATGGACTTGAGTGAATTTAAAAATATATATGACTTTACTGTACATTGTAGCGGCGTGTTTTGTTAGGTTATACCGAACGTAGAGAAGGAACGAACTGCTAAAGAAACAAATAAATATATTTTTTATCTGAACTTAGGTATAACATTTTATAATTATTAATTCACATAAATACGATTTACACAAATAAAAATTTTGTGTCAAATGGAAAAATCGTTCCTTGTTTCGTATTTTGGTTCACACTCGAACGGTAAATAAATTTATTGGGAGCATGCTTTCTTATCGCAGACTACAGACGGAGCGGTGGATCACACTGTGGTGTAGAAAAATAAAACCGACTGTAAAAACTGTAACGACTGTAACGACCCATACCGCGACCACACACTGAATGGAGTAGTAAATGTAATACCCTACGTGTTTATTAATAAAATAAAATAAAATTTACTGTTTTTGATGGAAATACGCCACAATTTAAATTTAATCCATCGAATCGAATAAAATGTCGAATCAAATCGATCATCGAATCAAATAGATTATTGAATCGAATCAAATATTGAATTGATTATCGAATCTAACCGATTATCGACTAGAATCGCTTATGAAATTGAATCTATTATCAAAGAATATAGACGCTTATATAATTAGCGTCTTATTATATTATATAAGCGTCTATATTCTTTGCTATTATCGAATTGAATCGAATCGATTATCGAATTAAATCGAATCGATTATTGAACCGAATTGATTATCGAATCGGTTATCGGACTAATTAAATCGATTATCTAATCAAACCGGCTACCGAAACGATTATCGAATTGATTTTCGAATAGATTATCGAATCTGATCAAATAGATTATCGAATCGAATGGAATCAAATCGAAATGAAATAGAATAAAATACATTTAAAGAAATTTAAAGCATCGCTCCTTGCTTGGACGATAAGAAACTATGCTTTTCTAAACTTCTAGTTTAAAGAGAAAAATTACATATTTATTTTTAATTTACATTAACAGTTATTACAAAAAAATATCGAAATCTATCCAAAAAACATTACATTGAAACCTTTTAACAACAAATCAAAATTTAAAACTATGGTTAATGCTTATGTACCAAATGGCAAAAAAGTTGTACTAACTGTCATATGTCGAAATGAGACTACTTAACTGTTCTGAATTATTAATTAATTATCAAAGGTTAATTTTATGTAAAAGAAACTAAAATATGACAATTAGCTGGCTTCAAAGGTTATATATATATATATATATATTATATATATATATATATGTATATATATATATATATATATATATATTATATATATATATTGCTATAATGTGTTGTTGTATGAGCAATGAGTAAATTTTAATGATATAATGTAAGTATAGGGTTTTTATCGCGGTTCTCAAAGAATTAGTTTGTAAGTACTTTTTTAAATTATCTTTATTATAAATATTATGAAACAAACCTATCTACCTAATATAAGCAATATTAATTTAAAACAATCTATCTAAAATTTGAAATTCTTACAATTTATTAAATTATTAACAAAATTTGGTACCTTCTTTCACTGAACGCCTAAAGTTTTTCCAAAATTAAAGTTATTATCACCACTTGATATCTTCTTACTAAGCCTTGGTTATCCAACTATTTTAATATGTTCCTTATTAATTATCTCCACTCACCATATAAATATATACTTAACTCCTTGTAATTTCCATATACTTAATGTACTTTGAAATATACTGGATCTTGTGGTTGTATTATTGAATGCTTATTTCAATGAATTAACTTCAAACTGTCACTATATTACTGTAGTAATAATTAATCTCCAACTGTGTTTAACTTAACAATTCATGTAACTTAATCAATGCCTTCTGCTAGCTAAGAATCTCTTCATAACCTCATAAATAACTGACTTAATAATCCTGGAATTGTTATAACTAACTCCTCAATAATAATCTTGTAACTGATTTAATATCTTCTAACTAACTCACTTAACTCAATTAATAATCTTCTTGTAACTAAATTCTTGAATTATAACTTTACTAACTGATAAATGATCATACTGTAACTGAACTGGTAACTGAACTTAACTGAACTGAACTCTAACTCATAACTGACTGACTGACTGACTGACTCAACTAAAACTGCTAACTAACTTCTCCTCCAAATTACATGGCTTTTTATATGTTTTTCCTTGTTTCCAGAATATTCTAGCAATAAAGAATATTCCAATCATTCTATTTTTTCTATCTGAACAATCTGGAATGATTTGCTGTCTGTGATGTATTATGTATACAGTCCCATTGACATTTCTAGAGTTTTCTATCTATAATTTACTTGACTTTAGGCTCTCCAGATCAGAACTACACTATTATATGTAACTTAAACATTTATATGAACTATATTTTTACAATTTTACATCCACAATTATATTCTAAATTAACATTCCAAAAATAAATAACTATTTGACTTTGACACTACAGTGTATGTTTGGTTGCATAGCACATGGCTGAGTAAACATATTAAATATTAAATAAAATAAAATAAAAAAAATTTCTTAAACTTAATTCTTATGCTAAATTCTTAAAAATACCCTCATATAATTATTTTTTTATAATATTAGCTAGTATATAACTTACAAATTATGTCTCTAACCACTATTTAAATAAATCTACTAATCAACACTGCATATCTGGTTGTATATATTTCTAAGTTAATTTATTGTATTTCTGTTTTCATAATAATATATAATAATGAAATAAAATACGAAAACTGGACTTAAGGTTATCCTGGATGATAGCTATATCTGATCCTTTAACTCGGTTAATTATTTTACTCTTAAAATCATATTGGGTTAGTCCTCAGGACGCTCCTTCCTCTTTCAGATGATTCGGCAAAAACCTTAAGAAGCAAATAGCTTTAGGTAGCTTTCACGTCATCAGCCAGGGCGTATCAAGTAAAATTTAATTTTCAAATGAAAAATATACTACATTCTTAGTTCTACTGAGATACTTTCGATCCAGTTTTTCTTAATTGTTCACAAATAGTTAACTTTTTGTGCATCTTTGTTCAGCTGTACTATGTTTAGTTCGTCGTATTAGTTATTTTTTAATTTGTATTTTAGCGTATCCTTAGAACAATGCCGGCGTCCGGATACCATGATTGGTTTCACAGTGATGGATCATGATGTTATAACTGCCAATGATTTCGCCGGAGAGGCATTTTTATCCTTAGGTAATATACCAGGAGTAGCAGATATCGGGACTGGTGTGGAAAATTTCCATGGACTGAAACCCGTCGAACTGATTTTAATGCAACAACACCAAAGAAGTAAGTTTTCTCTCGTTTATCTATTTTTTTCCAAATTCAAACACTTTTTATTCATTTTATTCTTTAATAGTGACTTCTTTGCAGCTCCTAGTCTAAAGACACTACTTACTTTTTTATACTACTATTTCTCTATATAATACAACAAAATAATTTAAAAGGTTCCCTTACACAATGGTAACGGTTCCTAAGTCGTTGTTGGCCACAGCTCGTCAATCTTCTTCTTCTTGTAGTGCCTATCCGTTTCGGATGTTGGCGACCATCATGGCAATCTGCACTTTGCACACTGCTGCTCTAAAAAGATTTGTGGTTGGTTGTGTTGAACCACGTTCGTAGATTTTTCAGGCAGGAAATCCTTCGCCTTCCTGGTCCCCGTTTTCCTTCTACTTTTCCCTGCAAGATTAGTTGCAGCAGTCCATATCTTTCGCTGTTCCTCATGATGTGACCGAGGTATTCGATTTTGGCTGTTTTTATTGTGGTTAACAGCTCATTTTCTTTTTTCATTCTCAACGGAACACCCTTATTAGTAACGTGGTCGGTATACGATATCTTCAGGATGCGACGATAAAGCCACATTTCAAAAGCCTCAATTTTCTTGCAGGTGGCGTCTGTGAGAGTCCATGACTCAACTCCGTACAACAGTATAGGAAAAATGTAACATCGTAGTAACCTGATTTTTATGGGCATTGATAAATCATGACATTTGAATAACTTAGCCATTTTTTGCTCATCAATATTTCCGCGAAAAAAATTTTACATACAACTTTTGAAAGGTCTGTGTATACAACTTTCACCCTTAACTCTGCTTTTGTTTGTCAGAAGAAGAGGATAAATATTAACCCTACATCCGATCCTAACATGGCAAAAACTACTACTTTGGAGGCATGCTCAAATTGTACCGTCAAAACTGCAATTGCAGCCATAAACACAAGAATTCGAGACTAGTAGTTAGCAGAGTGTACTACAGCTCTTCAAAAGGTCCACATCTCCGAAAAAATGGAAATTTAATTACAGTCAACCAAGAAGTGTGTTTCAGTTACTAAATCAGTTCCTGGTTAGTACACGATATAAATGGCACTGCTCACAGCTTTATCACTAAGTTCCAGGCAGTTATTGCTGATGACACCTTCTACAATACAGTTACAAGATTAGTCGTTTTTCGTTATAAGACGATATAGCTCGCCTGAGAGGACAGTATCCTACAAAATTAAAAAAACAACATGCAGATCATATGTTCCTAACATGTTCTTTATCTTTATCTGCCTATGACTGTCTCTTAGAAATTTTAAATCAAAATTTAATCTACAAATTTACAGGCCTTCCTCTTTCTTCTAGTCCAACGTACTTTCTTCCGGGTTCGATTTTTGCCCAAAGAAAATTATCTATTATCGAAATAAAATATTGGCAATCAAATGCTGCTGACAATTTTCCAAATCTGGTGGCCTCTCAAAAAGATATCGACAGCTTCGCCTCAGATAAATTTGTTGTATTAAAAAAAACTTAATTTTTTTGAAAATATCTGCTTTGTACTGCGTTTTCTAAAACCTCTACCTTGATCAATCAACAGTCTTTAACAAAAAAACATGTCTTTCCCACTCTTTCTTTGTCTCCTCCTACCGCCTTTATCATACATACAACACACCACCCTCTATTTGCTTGAGAAAAAACATCTACGTCATACAACTATTTGGAATACCTTAAAGTCAAACTGTATTGTTATCATTAGTCCTAGAAACCAATATCTTCCCTTTTATTTCTAAACAAATTATGTAAATTACTGAGTAATAATCCTACTGCATACTTATCTCTAGGTACAATCACTTACAAATAATGTTTAATACTCAGAAGAATTGTTAGAAAAGTAGCTGGTCTTTATCATAAGAAAACTTCACATACTATAACCGATTCGTCGGGAAAAATGATAATAGACGAACATGACATTCGAACAACCTGGTGTAATTATATATAAGTGAACTGTATAATGATGATAGATCAGAAGAACTGGAGACTTTAGTTGAAGGTGAAGGACCAGAAATACTAAAATCAGAAATACTGCATGCTATAAAGTTAGCAAAGAACAAGAAAGCCGTTGGTCCTGATAACATACCGACAGAGATGTTAAAGCTTATAAATGAGGAGAACATTGGAATACTGGTCAAGCTTTTCAATGATGTTTATTCGGCTGGTGATATTCCTGAAGATTGGTTAAAGTCCGAATTCATAACACTACCAAAAAAAACAACGTCCGAAAAACTGTAGCGATTATAGAATGATAAGCCTTATGAGCCACACTTTGAAAATATTTCTACGCATCATCCACAGTAGAATCAGAGATAAATGTGAAGAAGACCAGGATGAAACACAATTTGGCTTCAGAAATAGACTGTCCATGTCAAATGTCGAGATCAAAGGAAAGACGTCTTTGCAGTATTTATTGACTATGAAAAGGCCTTTGATCGAGTACAGCATCACAAATTAATTACAATATTAAAAGATAAAGCAGTTGATAGTCAAGACATACGATTCATAGAAAAGTAATACTGGCGCCAAACAGCGACAGCTTGCATAAACGGTAAATCAACAGAAATATGTAAAATACAAAGAGGTGTCAGACAGGGTTGTATACTATCCCCACTGTTATTTAATTTATATTCAGATAGAATATTTAAAGAAGCGCTGCATAATTTGGAATGGGGCGTGAAAGTTAATGGAATTCTGATTCAGATATGCAGACGATACAGTTATTTTAAGTGATGACATGAATGGGCTACAAAGCCTTTTAAATGCCATTGAGACAGTGGGAAGAGAGTTTGGCCTAAACATAAACTGTTCAAAAACAAAACACATGGTGTTTAGCCGTTTAGCACATCAAGATGCACGATTATATGTTGGTGGTCATATAATTCAAAGAGTGTCCAGTTTGAATTATCTTGCTTGCCATATTACTGAACAACTAGATCCAGATCAAGAGATAAAATGTAGAATCGAGATAGCCCTCACGACATTTTTAAAAATGAGGTCATTCTTCTGTAATGATAACTTGCAACTTTAACTTCGAAAGCGCATGGTTAAATGCTACATTTGTTCAGTCCTCTTATACGGTGTCGAAGCATGGACATTAAAAATATCCACCATTAATCGTCTGGAGGCCTTTGAAATGTGGCTGCACAGACGTATACTAAAAATTACATGGACGGCTATGCTGACAAATGTGGCAGTCCTTGAGAGAGCAAATGCTGCTCGCGAGCTGCTTGATAACATCAAATGTAGAAAGATGGCCTATTTTGGACACATAGTAAGGGGAGACCGATATAATATTCTTCAACTTATTATGATGTGTAAAATCGAAGGACGCGGAGGAATTGGTAGAAAGCAGGCCTCTTGGTTGAAGAATATCAGGGAGTGAACAGGAATAAGGAAAGCTGAGCAACTCTTTAGAATAGCTCGAGACAGAGACAGTTTCGCCATGTTAATCGCCAACGTCAAGGGGACTTGATAGGGCACGTTAAGAAGAAGATTCAGAAGAAATCAAAACCATATTTTAATGTGCAATCTCATTATTTCGTAAAAACTATTATACTGATTTTGATTTAAATCTATTTATAAGTAATTGTTCGTAGAATCATTTTTAATTATTAAACACACTTTCACTGGAGTACACTAAATGCTTATTTTTATTTTTAATTTTAAACAGAAACCTGCATACTTAATTTCTTAAATATTTTTCTGAAAGTAAAAATCAGGAATCATAGAAATATAAGTAAAATGTAATGGCATGTCTCGCAAAACAGGAAAACAAGATAGGTAAGTAAGAAAAGGAGAATGTTAACTTGGAAAAGGATCATTACAGAAGCAATGCGACCAATTTGTGGCGTTAGATGTTTCCTTCCATCGATATTACTTCTTTGTTTTCCTGTTTTTGCGAGACATGCCATTACATTTTACTTTTATTATTCACTCGCATTATTTTTTTCTCTTTTTTTTTAACGATTTAACGTCTAGTATTCCTTTCCTCAGGTAGCTGTAGCTTCCTCCGTTGTTATTGGTAGTTATTGCCCTGGAAACCATCAGGGTCTTCTACCTCTAATGCCACAAATTGGACCTAAGGCCACTCTTATTGAATATAAAACAATTCCTAATAAAATATGAAACAATTCTTTATGGTCCACAGAAATTATTCAAATATATAACTTTCTACGGCTGAACAGTATCCCAATCTGTCACTTTTTTGATGTCACTTCTTGAGCGTGACATTTTCTGCAATTTTTGAGGCAGTAACAACTCTCACAATTTTTAACAATATTATTAATTGACTGTACGCAAGGAATTGGTCAAAGAAACACAGAAAATAAATCTACACACTTTTGTATACAATTACCAGCATAAAACCATTTTATTATTTGATCTTTTTCTGTGGGCGTATAGGGACAAATAAACAAGTACAAACTGTGTTTACCACTATATGACAATTTAATTAAAACGTATTTTATATGATGAATTATTGAAATTTTAATAAAAAGGGTGTAGAAGACACACATACTTCTATTACTGTATGTTATATTCATTTGGAACTATGTGTTTTAGATCATCCAATTTTGCAAATATTGGAATACAGATCCGGCGACAAAGTTGCTGCCGAATTCGTCAAGAAGCAAAAGCAGCGATTTGCCGTCAAATAAACAACTACTTCATATCTACAACTATCCTAATAAATGTGATGAATGTGTATTTCCCAGCACTGAAATAAATGTATATGTCTATATAAATCTAATTGTATAAAAATATGTATTTACGTAAACCGAGAAATGTTTTCGATGAGATATACACAAAGAAATCAAAAATATAACTTTAAATTATAAATAAATAAATGTGGGATAGTTAAACGATAAAACTTGCTTTGAATTTTAGCTCCACCAAAGGATGTACGTTTTTTTAACTAAAGCATGAAACAGAGAATATAAAGTCGATTAAAAATTTTGCTACGCTTATATTTCTCAAAAATTTTTACTTCTGATTGATTTGAAAGTTGCAACCCTCTGTATTTCAGCAAGTAAGTCTTTAAAAATTTTTTAAAAGTTAAAAATTCACAATATAGCACTATATTGTATATTTTGACCGCCCAAATAGTGTTGGAAGAATTAAAACTGTTGATCTGCCTTTCTAAAATCAAAATATTATAAAATTATAAATGACATTTAACATTAATGGAAAACTTTAATGAGAAAATGCTTTTATCCAGTAAAATATAATACATATTTAATCTAAACGCCGGAACTGTATGCAACACGTAGTCCAAAGATGAGTATTTATGTGTTTTACGTGTTGCCTACCGTGTTGGTGCAAGAATTTAGTACAGGAAACAATAGTTTTCACCTCGCAATTTTTTCGGAAAAAATCGATTGACTTGAAAATTTGGAAATACGTAGTAGATATCCAAGGGACAAAATCTATATGCTGCCAAAAGACGCTTTTACCATGGGTGTAGGGACCCATCTCAGGGTGGGGGTGGGGGTTTTAATTAGGGGAGAAAAATTGATAAAATTAATAGTTTACGATTTATTTACAATTATTACATAAATCAGGCTATCCAAATTTTATCCTCCTTTAGCTTTTTTTATGAATTTAAGCATTTATTGGTAGTTTTTACCCTTGAAAACGAACTTTTAAAGGGTTGAAATAGTCAACAAGTATAGTTAGTGTATCAGACAATCATTATTTAATTCATCTGAACCAAATTTCACTTGTTTAAGCTTTTTTATAGATTTTGGCAATAAGAGGTAGTTTTTAAAAAGTTCCCGTCGGTACAATATTTTTTAGTAGAGGGTAAGTTAAACTTAATCCTAAATTTTTATGCAAATCGGTCTGTTCCGAAAACATTTGTGGGGTTTTGTCCTATTTTAAACTTGTTTACTGGACTATTTTATTCTACTACTAATGCGATGAGATGAAATAACTTTTTTTTTACTAAATCACGAAGCCGAAGTCGATTAAAAATGTTGCTACATCTATATTTCCTAAAAAATTTCACTTTTGATTGAGTTAAAATTTGCAACCCTCTGTATCTCAGCAACTAAGTCTTTGTTAAAAATCCACAATATAGCACTATATTGTATATTTTTGACGCTCAAATGGTATTGTTAGAATTAAAACTATTTATGTACCTGCATATTTAAAATCAAAATATAAATGACATTTAAAATCCTTCTGTATCTCAGCAATTTAAAGTTAAAAATCCACAATATAGCACCGTATTGTATATTTTTGACTCCCAAATGGTATTGTGAGAATTAATACTTTGCATGTACCTGCATATTTAAAATCAAAATATAAATGACATTTAAAATTAATAAAATACTAAACGAGAGAAAAATATTTTTTGTAAATAAAACAGATCACCGAAAACATTTCCGGAAATGCGAAACAAATAATTGAATCTTTAGTCTAACAAGTTAGTAGAAATACCGTTATTTGAATTTTATAAGAATCAAACACTGCATATATTTTAAGCGTATGAAAATCAAAACAAATTGTTTGTATCAATATCAAAATGACTGCCAAATTTTTGTATTCAAATAAAACCATTTTTTTAAGGTTAAAATAAGTTTATTGGTGTTTCAATCTCTACTTCGGAAATCGTTCTCAAAATACAATATACGGAGTTTAGATTGAAACGTCAATAAACTTATTTTAACTTTAAAAAAACGACATTTTTTAATTTGTTGCCTTAACGATGTGTAGTAAGTAGTCATACTATTTTCCTGGAGTACTAAGTGTGACCTTGGATTTTTATATAAATATCTCAGAAATATTGTTTATTATTAGACTATGAATATCCTCTAGCTGAAAAGGGTGCCAAATGTCAGGGGAAGGTTTTAGAACGAAAATTCGACTTTAATTGTATAATCTTTTATGGCTAATATATCGTAAAGTGTTGTCATCATATTGATAATTAAATTTCATAATTCATTCATTGTCGACTTTACTCTCGTTGGGTGATTTCTTTGTTCTGGGTGTTTGATGTCCTGTTTTAGGTTTTCTACGTGTTCAAGACGTGGTTTGTTTTTGTTTGGTGGTTGACAACCATTTTTTTGTCATGGATCTACTGGTATATGTTGATGGTTGTCGGAGGAGCTCCTGGACGTTCAGAGGTGAAAGGCATTTAATAACGGTTCCTTTCAGAATATTATTGATCTAAAAAATGATTAGTATATATGTGGAATTATGTGAATTTACAAATTTGGTAAATTAATAAATGTATGAAACGCGTTCGCGAGAGGGCATCTGTGGCTGAATACTCTACAATAGAAAGGTATCGTTGTGCAATGGGATCGGGAAATCACAGAAAATCGATCCCCCCGTCTGGAGCAAACTCGAAGTGAACATTTAAATCCTCCCGTATATCAATGTATTCATCAGGTAGTTCGTTGCCGGTAAGGGCCAATAAAATACCGGGCAGGAAGGGGATTTTGGGTTTGGGTCTTCTTCTGAACACATTGCCGAGGGATGAGCAGGTGGTTTTTAGGATGCTTTGGGCTCTGAAGTTTTGGCCCCGGATGGTGCTCATTGTATAACTCCTGCACAGAGAGGAAGGCATCTCATCGATGGGCTGGATATTCAACAAGTGATGTATGAGGGTAAAAGGGTAATCTTGTCGCTTGTTGTTTACTCTACGCAGGATTCTCCTCTCCATCGCAAGCAATTTTTGTGTGTGGTGGTCGAGTACCGTAATATAGACATTAGATCTATACTCGATGCACGGTCTTATGCTTTGTATGTGTGAATGAGTGATCGTGAAAAATACTACTACTCAATTCTCAAAGAGCATTGAGTAGTTCGAGTCTGTCCCTTGCCTTTTTACAGGCTATGTCCAGATCGGCCTTCCAGTTCAGTGTTTGGGTAAACACTACACCGAGGTATCCGATCCGGTCACGGAGCTGTAATCGGTCTCCCCAAAGTCTAAGATTATGCCTTGTGGAAATTATGGGTGTGATGTATTGACTGCGATATGGATGTCTAAAGAGAATCATTTGAGTTTTATTTGGGTTCACTCCATCTCCTACACCACCTGTCGACCAGGTTAAGGTGATTTTGAGCAAACCCAAGAACTGAGTCAACGTCTCGTGCTGTTGTTACGAGAGCTGTATTGTCTGCGTAGAGCAAAGTGGTGGTGTTTGTGTAGCGAGGGTTGGGAAAGTCACTGTTGTATATTATGTATAAAATGGGAGCCAACACTGAACTTTGTGTTACTCCTGCTGTATGAGTAAAAGAATCAGGAGAAGCGATCCCGCTCCTTTACGGTTATTAGACGATTTTATAATTAAAAAATGCCTATGCAATAAATTCATGGCATAAATTTGTGTAAAAATATTATGCAAAAACATTAAAAGGATATTGTTCTTTTTTATGCATGTTTTTTGTTGTTGATAACGTCAAATTTTTCATTTTTCAAACAATTTTTATAAAACAACTGTTTAAGGGTCGTAAAATGGCCACATCCTACCTCAGTCGTTCTGCAGACGGACTTAGATCTACTGATGTTGTGGGTGTAGACTACATAATATATTTAATAGACATTAGACTGCTCATAGTTGAAAGAATATAGACTCCCGACCCTATAGTCTTCGTCTTTTTTCAAGTCTTTTAGCCACGAGTTCTGTAATCTTCCTACTGATCTTTTACCCTCTACAGTTCCTTCTAATATGATTTGGAGTGTTCGTGTCTTTAATCTTCCAACACATGACCGAAATAATGAAATTGTAGGCTTCCACGGCCAGAGTCAGAATTATAGTTTATTCGTCTTCCGGGTTTGGACCGTGTCATTTGTGAGTGACCCAAAAGTGGGTTCATCTCGACGTTTCGCTACAATTGTATGTAGCTTCTTCAGGAGAACAAAGAAAAAGAAAACAAAAGGTAGGAAGATGGGTAGTTAGCAACGGTAACTCAGTTACTCAACGCAACCAGAGGCGAATACTAACTACCAAGATGGGCATTTGGTCACAGTAACTCAACTACTCAACGCAACCAGAGGTGAAAAGCAAATGCCAGGACAGGGATTCACGTCCAACAGCTCAGAACACTAACTCGTCGAGAGGCGGGGAGTGAATCCGACGATTACTCCGCTTCCGCTCTATTTATAGTCGCGCGAACGTCAAGAAGCGCGCGCTGGCCAATCATGTGGCTGCATCGTGGTAGCGGGACCGGACGGCGGCTCTAGACTGAGATTCCAGATGGGAGACAAGTAGTATCCTTCCTCTCGATTGATATTATGTGGATTTTTTCGGATCTCTAGAAATTCGCGGATTTTCCTGGAATAAAAGAAGGGGCTCTTAGAAATAATATGGGTTTTTTCGAACAATATGGAATGACCGGTTTCTTGGCAGTGTTCTGCAACTGCAGAATGGGAGAAAAGACCTGATCGAATGCATCTTTTTATTTTGCTTTCTTTGGTCACGCTTAACAATTCTTTTTGTTTGCTCATACGCCGAAGTACCTTATGGTTGGTAACTTTTTGTACCCATGGAATTCTCAGCATCCGTCTATGTATACATCTCAAAGGCATCTTTTTTTTTCTGTTTCAGAGTCCATTGTCCAACTTCCACAGCCATACAGTAAGAGAGAGAGAAAACATCTGATCATTCGAATTCTGAGCTCTAGATAGGTCTGATCTTGTAAAAATCTT